CAGTCCCTGCACCTGGTGGGAGGTCTGGGCTCAGTCTCTGCACCTGGTGGGAAGGGCCTGAGGTGGGGCAGCTTTGTGAGTGACAGGTGCTGACCAACACTCTGATGGAGTGACTGGGGTGTGAATGGCTTTGAAGCCTGCAAGGACAGAATGCTGGACACCCAAGGGGCCTAGCAGAGCACCATCCAGCCTGTACCCTGCAGTACCCTTTCCAGAGCCATGGCCACCTGAGGCCTCTGAGCAGGACCCCACACTGTCTCTCGAGGCTGAGGGCAGGCAGGACATGGGCACCTGGAGGATACTGATGAGGAGAGAGTGGCCACAGCATCCTGGAGCCAGACGGGGACGGCAGGTCTCCCCGCGGGGCAGGGCTGCGTGGCGGTGCGCCCCACCGTAACTCAGGGCTGACTCGTTGGACGAGGTAACTGGAGGTGCAGATGTGCAGGCTGCTGGGAGGGATCTAAAGGCTGCAGTGACTGTGAGAAAGTACAATGGGAAGAGCGTCTCCATCTCCAGGACGCTTGTCGCTCACTGGACCACTGAATCACGCGACCTTCCCGTCGGGTCTTGAGGAGCCTGTGCACCAGACAGGTTCTTAGTGGAGAACAGCAAGGTGACACACCAGGTAAGTTTCACCTCCACTCGGGTGTCGCCATGGACTCTGCTGGTCAGATGCTGGGCTGCCAAGTGCCAGGTTGGCAGTTCCAATCCACAGGAGAAAGATGGGCGTCCCCTCTGAGGAAGACTGACAGCCCTGATGGCACGGTGCACAAACCCTCAGGCCAGAGGTTATAATCCACCAGATCCGGGGAGCAAGGTCAACAGTCTCTCCATAAAGATTAGGGGTTCTGGTGGCGCAGCCTGCAGCACGCTCCACTGCTAGCACAGGGCCACGGGGCTGTCCCAAGGAAGCCTGATGGCCTTGGAAGCTGGTGGCGGGTCACCAAGTCAGAACCGACTCCACTGCCCAAGTGTGGTTTTGACGTTTCCACTGCTGTCATGAACGTTCCAACTCCTGGAGACCCTGCTGGATGGGGCGGGACTTCCCTAGAAAGTGCCACACCGCTCTCCTCTATCAGCTCCAACTCAGTGACCCCCACACACAGCGAGCAGCGTCGTCCGGCCTGACCACTGGTGCTGGAGCCCACGGGGGCAGCTGCCGTGTCCTCAAGCTCAGACGCCATCCCTGGTCTCTCCCAATGGCCTCCTTCACCACACACGGCCACCTTTCCTCGTGGTGGTCTTCCCCCGGTGGTGCCCGAGGTCAAGGGCATGGTGTTGTCACCCTTGCATGTGAGAAACACGTGCTTCTCCCCCAGCAGTGACAGCCCACAGCAGGCGCACGCTGAGCTCCCCAGTGCCACAGTGCCGCACCCTTTAACGCCTGATGTGCCAACCAGAGGGCTGCAGGACCTGTCTCCTCTGCACCTAGGCCCATCACGTGCTCTGCCTGCAGCACCTTGGGACTTCAGTCCTTGGGTGATGTGTGAAGGAAGCTCTGCATGACTTCAGGGTCAGGCCCCCCCAGCGACACCAGGACAGCTCACCTGTCCATTATCTGTCCATCCAGGAGAACTGAGGAACACATGCTCCAAAAGTCCATGAGGTCACGCAGACTCCCAGCCCAGCCCAGGGATGATAACTGTTTCTGTCCCAGAAGGTCGGCACAGACACCGAGAGATGGGCACTGTGTGGGGAAGGTCGCAGGTCAGCGGGCATCCTCCAGTGATGACCTCTAAGAACTGGGCCTGTTCGCGGGGTTGCGTGAGCCCAGCCCCAGATCGTCAGAGCTGAGCAGGAGATGTAGGCTGCAGAAAAAGGGTGGCGAGGAAGTGCAGGGGTCTAGGACAAGTCCCAGATGTGCCCTGAGAAAGGTCATCTGCCTGGACGGGGGTGCTGTCCAATACATATGCGTACACAGGGCCAGCAGCCGCCCAAGACACGCCTACAAGACGGGAGGCGCCGAGGGCAGTGCAGATCACGAAGCCAGACCCCTCAGCTGCAGAGAATCTGCTTCCATGCAGCTGCCACTGTTGGGGCTTTAGAGACAGGAAGAGGGATCCTGGTGGCGTGCTGGCTGCTACCTGAAGGCGTGCCCCAGGAAGGAGACAGACCTAAATATCAGGTGCTCGGCAGGCCACCATCGGAACACCAAGTGCTGCTCACCAGAACACGGGCTGAGGGTCCACATCTCCTTGAGGGAGAACGACCGCCGTGTCTCCCCCCAGACACAGAGGCCAAGAGTCAGAAGTGCTGTGACAGCTGGGGGCTGGTGAGAGAGTGGGTGGCCGGAGGGTGGCCAGCAACAAGGGTCTCAAAGGGCTGGTGCTCAGGTCCCCTCTAAAGAGCCTCGTAGGAAAGGACTGGGGGTTAGTGGAAACCTGCAGCTGACAACGTGGGAAAAGTTCTTCCCAGACAAACACGGGGACAGGGCAGGATGGCTCTGTGGTGCCCGGGACTCTGTGTGTCTGTCTCTGTGTGTATGTGTCTCTGTGTACCTGCAGCTGACAACGTGGGAAAGGTTCTTCCCTGAAAACACAGGGACAGAGCAGGACGACTGTCTGGTGCTCAGGATGGACGTGTGTGTACACATGTTCCTGTGCCCCTGTGTTTGTGTGTGCACATGTGTGTCCTCCTGAGTGTGCACGTGTGTTCCTGTCTATGTGCACTCGCACCCGTATGCCTGGGTTTTGTCCAAATCAAAGTCTGAGCTGTGTCACCGGGCTGATGGTGGGAGCTGAGGGTTGGAGCCCACCAACTCCGGCCTCAAACTGCCCTCTTCCAACAGCCACACTCCCCACCTGGTCCTTACATATGCCGTCACTCCTGCCTCGGCTTCCTTCTTTGTAGAAACCTGGTGCTGCCCCAGCCACCCACCCAGCCAGTAGGAGAATCCTCACCAAGCAAGGCCAGGCCCACCTGTCCAAGTGGACCGTGTGTGACCCTTGGCAGTGACACCCCCATTGAGTCAGCACCTTCAGCGCAGGCTCTGGTTCCCAGAAACTAGAGTGATGGGGAGTTGACACAGGCCAGCTGCCAGGGAGAGAACTGAGTGCTCACCCCAAAATAGCCTGGAGGCAGGCGTGGAAGGAGACGCAGGCCTGAGGCCAAGCCCTGAAATAGCGCAGCCGGAGGGGTGCTGCCCTTAGCAGGGCAGCTGTGGGCGGGGGAGCCCTGCAGGCAGGTGCAGTGGGATCAGGGTGAAGGAGGAGCATGGTGACCAGGAGAGCCATGCTGGACGCTGCAGGGTCTCCAGGGCACAAAGGTCAGCCGAGGGCATGGCATTAGGGCCAGCTGTGGAAGCCTCATGTCCCCAGAGAGGACATGTTAAGTCCAAGCCCTGGTGCCAGCCGGCATGGCCTTGATCTGAAAGGCAGGTGACCCTGAGGACAGGGGTTTGGTGGAGACATCGCGATGAAGCCAAGCCCACTCCACGGTCCCACATTTCTGTGTTTCCCAGCCCATCTCAAAGCCAAGTTGACCCAATTCTCTATCTCCGAAGCATGCAACAGCCTAACAGAAAAATTCAAAATATCAAGAAAGGTAAAAATGTGGCGCAGGGTATGAAGTGATCACATGGGCTGGGAAATGCGGATGGCTGGACGCAGGTGGCCACAGGCTTTCAGGCTGGGAAGAGAGTGTGGGCTGCTACAGGCACTCTGCAGATGGGTCAGTCACCCCAACGGAGGCCGCAGGGTGTCCGCACGAGAGAGGAAAAGGGAACTGCATCAAGGACTGCAGCACCGGAGAGACGAGGGTGGATGCTCCCCGTGACCTTTCGCGGGAAGCCTGGCTCCGACTGCACCCTGACTTTCCTCCTGACTGTGGGACAGTGAAGCGTGTGTGCCGGATCCTTGGACCAGCAATGCTAGGAAAGACTCGGTCCCTCCCTCGCCCAGCAGTGCCCAGTCATGGTGGTCACACCATAACTGTACAGTCACGAACAGAACAATCCCTGCAGAGAAAAACCTTTGGACTAGGAGAGACGAGGGGAGTAAGGTGCCCGTGCTGAGCTCCTAGTCTGAGGGGCAGTACCCCAGCCTGAGGTGATAGTAAAGCTGAGCCCAGAGGAGAGGAGGGAGCTGACAGTGTGCAGACACTGAGGGAGAAGAGTGTTCCTAGGGGCAAGGGCAGCGTGAGCAAAGGTCCTGGGGCAGCAGAGCACCAAGTCCTAGGAGCCCAGATATGATCAAATTGCTGAAATAGGTGAGCAGGCAGAGGTCCGACCGAAGCAGGAACGTGGAGGTTTGAGACAGGTGCATTCAGGTCTGGGTTCTGCTGTGAACCCAGGTATCCCATGGAAAACAGCCAGTGCCAAGCCAGGAGCCAGAGGGGGATGGCAGTTCACTATGGTGGCACAGGAGCAAGAGAGCACGCGTGGAAGGACCAGAAATGAGACCGCCGGCACTCTGCCACCTCTGCTGTTGTCTGCTGGAGGTGTACTCACAGGGGCTATGTCCTGGGCTGCTAACAAAGGTCAGCGGTTCGAATCCACTAGCCCCTCTGAAGGAGGAGACCTTCAAGAGTCTCAGCCTCGGAAACTCGCCGTCAGGGCACAGGAGCTGGAATCCGCTCCGAGGTGGTGCGCTGGGCTTTTGTTCTGGGTGGCACAGTGCTACGTGCTGGGCTGCTGATATAAAGGTTGGCGGTTTGAATCCACCAGCTGTCCCATGAGGGCGTGACGAGTAATCTGCTTCTGTAAGGATTCAATGGAGTTGCCGTGACAAAACCACCAGGGCGTGACCACCCAGGCGCAAGTGTTTCTTAAACCCAAGGTGGTTGTGACTCGGTGTTGGACCAAGTCTGATGAAACTATGCACAAGCTGGAGCACTGGTAGGGTAACGCACGACCAAAAGGTCAGCAACTCAAATCCACCAGCTGCTCCAAGGGAGAAGGACGGGAAGGTCCCTCCATGAGGGACAGAGGGTGGGCATAACTCACACTGGACAGGACATACACAGAATGGAAGGGGACCCAAGGACAGGTCACAGGCACTTACATCCACCTCGCCCTGGTCAAGCACGTAGAAGTTGTCACCTTCATCCCCTGTAACGACAACAGAAACGCGTATGCACAGACCTGGGCCGGCCAGCCACACAGGTGCCCCCCGCGTTCGTTCTGGAGGCCCCTCTGCCTCCTGGTGCCACCAACTCGCCACGGCTCACTGGATTTTTTCATTGTTTTTGCGAAGATTTGTTTGTACTTCAAAAATGAAATTTAAAGACAAATGAATTTCAAAGATACAAAGTGGCGCTACCTCATGTGGTAACACCCTCACACAGCTGTGTGTTGTGGGGTTAGAAATGACCCACACAGCTGAGCCTCAGTTAACCACGTGGGAGAAGAAGGCCCAGCCTTCTGCAGAGCAGCTGGAGATTCCAATCTCATGCCTTTTGGACTGCAGCACCGCTTCTTACCACTAGGCCACCAGAGCTCCCGTGTAGTTGTTTGTTGTGGCTACGTGCAATCAAATGTGACCCTGTGAACAACAGGTCTGAACCCTCAGTTGTCCTGTGCCGTCCTCACACTTCGGGATACACTGGCGCCCACTGTGGGAGTCACTGTGGCAATCCACTTGGTTAAGGGTCTTCCTCTCTTTTGCCAAGTCTCTGTCATTCCAAGCACCACATCTCTCTCCAAGGAAAAGCCCCTTCTAGCAACATGCCCCAAATAAGTGAGATGAAGCTTTATCATCTTCGCCTCCAAGGAGCACTCTGGCTGCACCTTCTCCAAGATCTATTTGCTCTTCTGGCAGTCCATGGGGGAGTCAATACTCTTCTCCAACAACACAGTTCAAAGGCACCAATTCTTCTTGTCATCTTTAGTCATCGTTCAGCTCTCAGTTAAATAGCAAGTGACCAGAAAGATTATGGCCTGAATCAGACACAGCTTAGTCCCCAAAATGACCTCAAGACTCAATAATTTGGAGAGGTCCCTAACTGCAGGCTTTCCTAGTGCAATCTGTCTCCTGGTTTCCTGACTGCTGGTACCAAGGGTGTTGACTGTGGATCTAAGATAATGTGGTTGACATTTCAAGCTTTTCACCATCATGATGTTGCCTATCAGTTCAGTGGTGAGAATCTTAGTTTTCTTGACATTGAGCTGCAATCCATATTGAAGGCTGTGCTCTTTGATCTTCTCCGACAAGTGCTTCAAATCCTCCTCACTTTCAGCAAGCTAGATAGGGTCATCTGCACAATGCAGGATATTGAAGAGTCGCCCTCCAATCTTAGTGCCACATTCTTCTTCAGAGAGTCCAGCTTCTCGAGTAAGTCGTTCAACATCCAGATTGAGTAGGTGGAGAGCGAGAATACCCCCTGGAAACACTCCTTCCTACTTGTAGACCACATAATGTTGCCCTGCTGTCCACTCAGCAGCCTCCTGGCCTACGTCTAGGTTTCACATGAGCACACGTAAGTGCTCTGGGATCCCCATTCTTCTCAACTTGCCACAACCTGCTTTGATCCACACCGTGAAATGCCTCTGCAGAGTCAATAAAGCATAGATGTGTAGGTTTCTCACGTTATTGACCTCTGGGAACACACCCTGAGGATACGATCTGAGGTCTGTCTGGGTTTGTTCCCCTACTGTGATTTAAGGGCGTGTTCAGAGCCAGCAGTTCATTTTGAACCTTAACAGTGACGCTCACACTGTGACACACGCCTCCTCTTCCTCAGCCACGTCCTCATGTGTCCTCTCTGCTCTTCCTCCTGACACCCGAGATTTCTGCCCGGGCAACTGTCGGCTCTGGATGTCCCTGAGCCGTTCGTCCTAAGGACTGTTCGCCTCACTGCTGGTTCTGATTACCACACACTCTCACTATCGTTTGGCTCCAAGAAGAGCCAGGAGAGTGAGCTTTCTTTTGTCAATTCTTTTTCGTGAACTGAAACATAATGGATCAACATGTTAAATACTTTTCAGGTTTCAGTAATGAATTTTCTCTAGGTTAGATGGGGAAGGTTTTCTATCAGTCATTTTTAAAGTGGATAAATGGGTGTTCCTTCTCTGCTGGTCGACGCTGGTGTCGCGAGGGGGATGTGAACGTACCTTGGTGGATGACAGCCTCCCCGGCAATGTGAGTGACGGGGAACATGGCATCAAAGATGTCACTGAAAAGCAAAACACAGCAAGTGAGGGGGTGTGCACGCAGAGGGCAGCTGAAACACCCAGACCCTGTCCGTTTACTTACAAATGACAGTCTCCATCACCATCTCATGTGCTTTTCAAAAGCAATTCACATCACCCATGAAAAGAAGAAAATTTCCATAAAGAATAGAATCATTCGTTCTCACCCAAAAGCCAGAGCTGCCCCTGTGACCCGTCTGTGTCATCCATCATTGTGAGTGTTGCCGTGGACTGTGACCCCCTTTGTGCACCCCATCAGTGTGAGGACCACTATCAACATTGCTTCTCACGCCACAAGAATAAAAGACCCCAGTGGTCCCTCACCCTTGGTAAGTGTCATCTGTGGGTGCTGCTGGGAGGGGCTGGCCAGGAAGCTCTGAGGCTTAACACTCCCACACACCAGGGAACAGACCACCGCACCACAGTCACAGCTGTGGGCACTGCGGTGTGAGTGTTCTCTGCTCGGACAGCAGCCCCGGAGGGGACACCTCTCCACCTGTACCTCAGCCCCGGAGGGGACACCTCTCCACCTGTACCTCAGCCACAGAGGGGACACCTCTCCACCTGTACCTCAGCCCCGGAGGGGACACCTCTCCACCTGTACCTCAGCCCCGGAGGGGACACCTCTCCTCTGTGTAGACTTCTGGCTAAAGCTCAGCTTCCAACAGGCTGCCTCCTCCTCTGTCGGAACCTGCAAGTTCTGCTGGAATCCGCCACCACAGGTGACCCTGCTGGTACCTGAAGTACTGGTGGCATAGCTTTCAGCATTACAGCAACATGGAAGAGACCAAAGCTGGACCAAAAGGCCAACCAGAGAAGTCCTAACTAGGGACTACAGAGTTCTGTCAGACAAACTGGCCAGGTGGACATGAACGCCATGTCCTACTTAGGCCCACAGACTTCCTGTCTGAGGCTCGCGGAAACAGAAGCAGTGACAATGCATCTAGTGAATGCGGTTCTTCTACACTTGTTGTTAGGTGCTGCCCAGTCGAGTATGACTTGTAGTGACCATATGAAGTCCTGTGCCTGCCTCATCATCTCTGGCAGGCCCGAGCCCACTGCTGAGTCTGCAGGTCAGTCATCTCATTGGAGATCTTCCTATCTTTGAAGGACCCTCCTCCACTTTTCCAAGCATGAAGTCCTTTCCAAGGAATAGCCTCTTCAAGCAACATGTCCAAAGTGAGGAGGCTCCTTGCACCTCGAAAGAGCACTGCGGCTGCCTTTTTCCTAGGACACATCTGTTAATTCTGTTGGTAGTCCATGGGGCTATTCAATACTCACCTCCAACACAACTCAAAGGCGTCAGTAATTCTGTCATTCTAGTCACTGTCTAGCAAGTGACTGAAAAGACATGACATGACTCAGGTTCACCTTAGTCTTTCGAGTCATTGCTCTTAAGTAACCCTAGGAGTTACTTAACCCTAGAGGCCAGCACTTAACAACAACAAACAACAGTTAAGGTTCCAATCCTTCCGAAAACACATCATGGTGAGAGAAGTGGATGGTCAGAGAAGGAAAGAAGATCCTCAACACAATGGACTGATACGGTGACTGTAGCAACGAGCTCAGTGTGTCTCAGATTGTGGGGATGTCGTAAGATAGGGCAAGGGTTAGATCTGCTGTTCACAGAATTGCTGTGAGTCTGCTGGCCTAGTGGATGGAAAGTGATGCTACCAAGCCAAAGGTTGGTGATTTTAATCTGTGGCACTCAGGCCTGCTTTTAATTATTTTTGGTCAAACATACTTCTAAGGGGCATAGCACCGGTCTGTCCATTTGTTGTACAGTGGTAACCCATGATTGCCGTGATGCTGAACACTGTGACACTGATGTGTCAAATACAATAATGGTTACCCATGGTGGACAGTGTTTGGTGGAGCTCTCCAATTAAAACAAGCTTGGAGGTAGAAATGACACCCACTGCTGAAATAGCTTGCCTCCAGAAACCCTATGAACTTGGAGAAACGATCAAAGTTATACAAGTGTCCAAGTCTTTTGTTCATAGGTCGCTGTGAGTCGTCTCGACGGCACTTAACAACAACATAAAGATTAAATAGGTACGAAGAAACGCAACCCTGATGCACACCATTCCTGTTTCTAAACCACACTATGTTTTGTTCCCTGTGGAAAACAGCTTCTTAATCTAGGTATAGATTTCCTAGGAGCACAATCAAGTGCTCTGGGATTGCCATTCTTCTCAATGTTATCCATAACTTGTTAGGATCCACACAGGCAAATGCCTTTGCATAGTCAATAAAACACAAACAGGCTTTCTCCTGCATCAGCGATGACAGCCCTGCTGTCACAGCCTCTTCTAACCCAGCGTGACTTCCGGCAGTTTCCCAGCCGTACTTCTGTAGCAGTTTTTACTTGAGAAGAGTTCAAGTGAGTACGGTTAGGGTTTTTTCTTTCCTTGTTGTGCACTGTTGAACTGGATCTGACTGGCACAGGAGATTACCCCTCCTTCTCCAGCAGAGCATCTGGTGGATTTGAACCGCGCTCTTTCAGGACTGCAGAGCAACTTTACCACTTGAGCTCCCTTGCTATGTGTATTTTACCACTTTCAATACAATTATAGGCAGAAGCCTCTTCTCTGTGGTCGAATTCTTCCTCAAAACATCTGGAGATGTCCATGCAGCCCGGTCCTCCTGGTGTCAGGCTGCTTCCCAGAACAGTGCCCCAGGTCAGAGGACATCTGCTTTCCTGAAGGTTCCCAGGGGTCCTGCAGTCCCTTCTCTGCTTGCTCCATCCCCTTTTATCCCTTGAGATTAAAGCTGCCCCAGGCACACTCCTGGAAACTCACAGTGACTCAGGGCTGGGGTGCAACTGGGGTGCAGCTTCCCACACTTATTCTTCTTGGCTTATTAGACCATGGGGATCCTTCAAATACTCCCACATTACATCCTTACATGCCTGTATCCGAGCACCAAATCCAGCCTGTGGCTCCCTTACTCGGGTGAGGAGTGCAGGTGAAGGCCAACAGTGACTTCTCTGTGGGACACAAACCACCTACACATCTAAGAACCAGACAATCTCAACAGTCCTACATCAAAAAGAACCCACGCGTTGGGTCATACCACGTGCTCGAGGTTGGTGGTGACAGCCCAGACAGTGAGTGCGGGGAGCCACGGAGCCCCTGGGGGCCGCAGCCAGCTCCCCAGAGGCCAAAGGCTAATTCCTCTGGGACCCGCACCTGACTCCAGGAGAGTCACCACATGGGGCACTTTTTCCACGACCCCACGTGTTCCACCAGAGCGCTGTCGAGCCCATCCTCCGTGAGGGTGGGCTGCTGGGAGAGGGGCAACCACAGGCACAAACACAGCGGTGACTGACATGCAGGCCCAGGGCCATGAGGAAGGCCCTGGCCGTGAGGAAGGCCAGGGAACCATGAGGAAGGCCAGGACAGTAAGGAAGGCCAGGGACCTGTGAGGATGGCCAGGGGCCAGTGAGGAAGGCCAGGGACTCGTCGGAAAGGCCAGGGACCTGTGGGAAAGGCCAGGGGCTGTGAGGAAGGCCAGGGACCCGTGAGGAAGGCCCTGGCAGTGAAGAAGGCCCGTGAGGAGGGCCTGGCCATTAGGAAGGCCTGGGGCCATGAGGAAGGCCGAAATCATGAGAAAGGCTGGGACTGGGCAGCGTTTTGCTCTAATGTGCCAGAAGCAGGCAGGTACAGTAGCTAACAACAGTGACCACAAAACACGCTGACCAACCAGTGCGTTGCACCCTGACAACCCGACGTTTGTCAGGGTGCAGATAAAAGCTTCAACTCGTAACCACAGGGCCTCCTAAGCCTCTACGACTCTGTGCTGACCGTCCCCTCACGGCATTTCATCTTCCCCTTCATTCATCTTCATGTGTTTACTGGCCACCCACTCATTTTTCTTCCCCTGCTAATAATAAAGTCTTAGGACCTGTTTCTGCATCTGGAGGAGGTAAGGTCAGGTCCATAGAGCCTCAGAACTCATGACGCAGATACTAGAAGAGTCCATGGCAGGACTCAGCATCCTGGTACACAGAAAACCTAGAACCACTGTCATTGGCTGATTTCAAGTCACAGTGACCCCACAGGGCAGAGAACTGCTCCAAGGTTTCCAAAGCTGTCTCTGGTGGCCTACTGGGTAGGGAATTAGTGCCTCTACTCCAAAGGCACTTGGTTCAAATGCACCAGCTGCTCTGAAGGATAAAGATGGGCTATCTCCTCCAGAATGATTGACAGCCTTTGAGACCCACTGGAGAGTCAGCTACAAGCCCACTGCAAGTATGTGATGGGTAATCTTTATGGAGGCAGAGTGCCCCTCATTCTCCTGAGGAGAGGTCAGTGGGTCCGAACTGTCGATGCTTAACCCTCTGTACCACCAGGGCTCCCTGATACAAAGGCGAGAAGCTTGACCAAATCGTGGACACGCTGACAGTCAGGTCTCTGACCAATCAGAACGTCAGGCCAGTTGGGAGCCAGGGCCAACTAGCATCAGATCAAGCAGAACGTTGGTTCTATCTGGATCTGGGGGTGTGGCTGGGACAAGGACACAGTGAGGGCTGAGGGGCACTTGTGGAGAGGACCTGGGGGCAAGGTGAGGAGAGGAAGCTACAGTGAGGACCTGTGGGTGTGGAGAGGACCCCCACTCCACCCTCTGCTGCAGAGGACACTGGGCAGGGGAAACAGTGTGCACCTTCTTGGACCCTTTGCATCTGTCAGGTGGCCAAGCTGCGCCTGGTGTGGAAGGTGCCTTGTCTCACCTCTGTTGCCAGCAAAGACTAGGCGCCTCCCCTATAAGCAGCGGCTGACCACCTGCTGTCACAGAGGAGGCCTGGCTACTCCTGTTGAGATTTACAGCCTCATAAATCCTGTGGGGCGGTTCTGTTCTGCCCTGCTGGGTCCCTGAGTCCCGAATGAGCCAACAGCAGTGGGTCTGGGGAGCCGTGGTGGTCCTGGCTGGTAAGTGAAAGGTCGGTGCTCTGAACCCGGCAGCGACTCACAGGAGAGTGCTG